CTTTTTTTTCTAAGCTGTTTCATGTCCTTGTCCAGATGATTCTTCTGTCTTATACCTAGTCTTAAATCTTCTATCTAATGTTCTTCTTATATCTGCTAGTTCAGAAGTATTTTTTCCCTTTCTGTATGTGGCTGGCTCTATGGTTTTGATTTAACAGCGATCTGATGTCACGCACATACTGACGCACAGGACGTCACTCGTATATCTGTGTTAATGCAGTAATTTCTTTCCCAGCTGCAGCGTATCTTTCAAAGACTTAGGAGTGTCTAAGGATCCAACAAAATTGCTGTCTATGTTTTCTTCAGTAACTAAATATTACAGTCAAAAATCGAAGCTTATTTTTGGTCTGTATTCTAGTATCAGCCACCAATAATACTGTTTTACCATATCTTGTGTTGTAGAGTACTAGTGATCAATGGCCCTTACAGGTACTTTTTGGCCAGCAATCAAGTTACTTATTAAACTTATTTCCGGATAAAGTAAGCTACTTTAGTCATTCATTATAAACCATGGTTTTCCGATCTTAAATGCTTCAAATGGTTGGTTTTGATGTTTGTTTGGTTTTTTCTTCTTTGCTGGACTTTTTTCAACACTTTCTCAAAAAAGTGCATAGCAGAACTTTTTTGCCTGAGAGCCAACATAGGAGAGATTAAGCAAGACTCAACGATAGCTCACAGAAAGCAGTAGCTGATGAGAGTCTTTGGGCTTTAGTTGTTTCACAACTGGGAAGAATACTGCCAGTCTATATGATTCCATGTTGAGCTTTTGGAGAAATTATGATTTTACTTTTGTAAGTTGAATTTGCTGTCTGTTGAGTCCAAAATCTTTATATAAAGAATCCCATTGTGTGCTCTGAGCCGGCAGTTTCTTTTTAAGTATGACTTATCTTCAGAATGGATAAATCTTCTGTTTGACTACTCATTGTAAGTATGGCAGCTATTCCACTGGCACCAACAAACATGAGGCATTCTGTTTATTATTTGCTTGAGTTCTTTTATGCCATCCCCTTATTTGTTCAATACTTAGGAACAAGATGAGTTGTTATCTCTAAAAAGATACCAATTTCTGCCATGGGGAATCCTTCTGAGTAAAATTGCTCTTTACAAGGATGAGACATTTACAATGTAAATTTACTTTCAGCATTTAAAAAGGCGGCCTTCCTCTGCAAGATTTTAATACTTGGCAGTTCCAAATTAAATAACGATTCCAAAATATATGTATTTATGTTTAGCTGAAAAGTCTTTCCATGCCTGTTTCTTTTATAAGGGGTTTTAAAGATTGTCTAGATTCTTCTGACACAACAGAACATCTATGCCATCATTTCCACAGAACATAATACTTACAAAATACTACTTTCCTGCCACCATTTTTTTTTTTGGTTTTCTTTGTGAATTGTGATTGATAAATTAATTAAAAGAGTCTTCACTTTTTTTTCTTTGTTTCATTTGTTGTGCAGATTTTGTGTGACAAACAGAATGAACATTCTTCAGTTGCTGTAGAAGTTGGTGATGGGGAACAGGAAATTTTCTGTAGACCTGATGTGAAAGAAAAACTGAATCTAGAATTACCAATACACAGAGGTCAAGCTCAAGGTAATGGCATTGTACTATCATGCTGGTTAAAAACCAATGCTGACTTCAAGTATTTCAGACTGGCAATTATGCCTTTAGTTGTTCAGGTGCTAATTAATGTGCCTAAATAGCTGCTTTAGAGATTTCCTCACTATTTTGAGCCACTTTTATTTTTTATTATGAGTACTTTCTTGTGCTGTTTTCATTATAGTGGAATTTGGTGAAAAAAGTGTTTTACTTTGTTTTTATCCTCTTTTTGTAGAAGAAGCTAACAGCTCTACCCAAAAAAAAAAAAATCATGTATATCAATGCTATATAAAAATGCATCCAAAATTTGTAAGGGACCTCGCTTGTTTCAGTAATATGTAGTGTTTAGCAGATAATGCTTCAGTGAAGAACTTGAGAACAATTCACCGTATTAAAATTTATGCTAGAATGTTTGATTATTTTTTTTTAGAAGGCTCTGGTTATCTGTGTAATTTAGCTGTGCAAGAACGTATGGATGCACTTCTACACAAGATAATGGAAGAATATAGTAGGCTGAAAGCACTTCAAACCCAGCTCATGAAGGATTGTAAACAGGTAAACTTTTTATAGCATACGAGTATATGAACATTTGATTTTTTTTTCTGTTGCATGAATTCTTTCTGGATGAGCAAATAATGTGTTTGAAATTGTGTTCATGTATCCTGGTTGAGCGGCAGAGCAAGGCAATGATATGGTAAAACGGAGAGAGCTGTTATCCATGTCACAGAATCTTGGAATGGCTGAGGTTAGAAAGCACCTCTGGAGTTTAACTAGTCCAGCCCGGTGCACAAAACAGGGTCGGGTAGAGGAGGTTGCCCAGTACAGTGTCCAGTGAATTTTAAATGTCTGCAAGGATGGAGACTCCACAAGCCTGGTGGGCAACCTTGTCTTCTCATTACATCTTCGCAGCTCTCTTGGCCTCTTCTTGTAAGACAAATGTTCCAAGCCCGCCATCTCCTTCGTGGCCCTCTGCTGGGCTCATGCTAGTATGTCCATTTCTCTCTTATTTGGGAATGCAGCACTGAACCCAGCACTGCAGATGTCTCATCAGTGTTGAGTAGAGAGGATCACCTTCCTCAGCCTAATGGCAAACACTCTTCCTAATGCAGCCCAAGAGGCTATTGGACTTGTGTCATAATACCACATTGATCGTTCCTGTTCAACTTGGTGCCCACCAAGGTCCCCAGGTCCTTTTCTGCAGAGTTGCTTTCCAGCCGATCAGTCCTCTGCATGTACTGGTGCACAGGGCTATTCCTCTCTAGGTTGCAGGACTTAGCCTTTGCTTTTGTTGAACTTCATGAGACTCCTCTCAGCCCGTTTTTCTGCCCTATTGAGGTCTTTTGGAACAGCAGCACAATCACCTGATGTATCAACCACTCCTCACAATTTTGTACAGTCTGCAAACCTGCTGATGGTGCACTCTTGTCCTGTTATCCAAGGCATTAATGAAAAGGTTGAACAGTATTAGCTCTGGTATTGACTCATTAGGTATACCACTAGTTACTGGCTTCCAACTGGGCTGATCGCAGCCTTTTGTGCCCAGCAGTTCTGTCAGTTTTCAGTCAACCTCACCATCCCCATCCTTCTTTAGTTTGTCTATGGGCATGTAACGGGAGGTGGTGTCGAAAGGTTGGTCAGGCATGATTTCCCTTTCATAAATCCGTATTTACTGCTGCCAAATGGAGTTCCTTCTCAGCTTCATGTGTTTGGACATGGTTTCCAAGATATTTGCTCCGTCACCTTCCCAGAGATCAAAGTGAGCCTGTAGTTCCTCAGGTCTTCCTTCTTTCTCTTCTTGAAGGTGGGAGTGCTCTTATGTAGTTCTCAGAAACCTCCCTCAGTCACTGTGACCTTTGAAAGCTAATTGAGAATGGCCTTGCTCCAGCTCCCTCAGCACTCCTTGGTGTATCCCATCAGACACCACCAAATTGTTCATGTACAGTTTCCCTAACCTGATCCTCCTCCACCAAGGTTATCTTCCTTGCTCCAGACCTTTAAACTCATGTCAGGGGCCTGGGATTCCTAAAGACAAATTTTATCAGTAAATTTGCAGTTAAATACTTCTGTGTATTAAATAGAGTGCACTAACCAATTATATCTAGAGATGGTTGCGGGTCACATGTATCGATGGATGGATATATGCATACAAAAAAATTTGTATGTGAAAACTGCATCTTGGGCCTGAGGAGATTATTATTTTCTTGGAGAGGAAGTGTAGTGCTCCTGGAGTCAGAGGAATTATGACTTAACAGTTTATATCTAGAGAGAGGAATTTGAGATTTACAGTGGATGTTCTGCTTAGGCTAATCAACTAACTGTGAACGTATACCTGATCATTCAGACAGTAAAATGAAACATGTTGTTACATGGGTTACACTATCATATGCAGTTGCTGCTAACCTCTCTTATACCTTTATAATTGCAGTTAATATTTTTGCATTATTGCTAGACAAATTATTGTCATTTGTATTTACTTAATTATATTTTAGGTCAAAGAACCGTGTCTGTCTCCTTCAGAAAGGAGGAAAGAAGAGGAATCTAGCCATCTGGAAACAAGAAAAGAATGTCTGCAGACCCCTTTACAGGGTCTAATGGGTAAAAAGATGCATATGCTGTTTTCAGTGTATGTATATTCAGAGGGAGAGAGAGAGAGTACAATGGCTTTAAATTTTATCTTATTTAAGAGCTTATTACAGCTTGAGACACATAAGAGATTTTTTACTGATTTTGCAGTATGATACTTTGATTTTCTTAAGTCTCTAAAATATTTTGGAATTACATTCTGTGAAACAGTTTTGGTTTAGTATTTTTCAATTTTCTGAAGTTAAAGTTCCATTACCCATACCGAATATAGTTTTGCAAAATGGAAGATTAAGTTATAGTAACTTGCTCTGGAAAGGTAATTGATAAGATATCAGAAGAAATTTTTAACTACAATAATTGTTCAGTCCACTGCTAATAATTTGGGAGAGAGTTAATGTAATTTATTCCGCTCTGCCTTCAAATAAACTACATATAGATCCTACGATTCAAGAATACTGTTCGAAGGAGATAGGGGACCTTAAAACACAACTTGAAGAACAGCATAGTCAAGAACTGGAACACCTTCGATCCTATTTCCAACAGCAGCTGAAAGAAAGTGAAGAGAGGTACACTACAGAGATTGTCCATCTCCAGGATAAGCTTCAGAGTGCTGGGGTATCCTCTGACCACACAAGGTATTAATTGGTTCTTCAATGCTTATGACTTTGCAGAAAGAAGCATTTCAACTAACCATTCATGTAAAGCTACATGTTTTACTTCAAAATTTGAGAAATTCTGTATGAACACATTACTCTTATGTTGTTTTGTTCCTTCAAGAGTTGTTGAGTGTTACAAAGAAATGACATAAACATTGCAAACTAAATAGTGCAGCATTTAGAATTTATTACATTTTTACAATTAATAGAGGAAGATTTTATAATTGGAATAACATGTAAATGTCATTTCATGCATAAGAACTTTTTAGCAGTAATTTCAAAACTTCAAACAACAGACCACTTTTAACTCTCGAAACTCCAGGCAACATACTTTACGTCTAAAGACGCGAGGTGTAGCATAGTTGCATGAAATTGATTTTCTAGAATTATATGTAGCAAAAAAGGTTGTGACAGAAACACTTTCTGGCTTTCACCAAGTATTGGGCTGTGGGACATACTCATCAGCCTCCTCCTGGCCCTGACCATTGTGGCCATTGAAACCTGAAAGAGGTGCAGGTGTCCTAGGGGATCCTGACAACTGCGGACCTTCTTCTGTTCCCTGATTCTGTCACTGTCTCCTTGGATGTGTTCAAGGAGGGTGCTTTTGATTGTGCCCTTTTCAGTGTCATCTCTGGTTTCCTGTTCTTCCATTTTTGAACCTCGTATTCCTTCCTTTTGTTTCATTTACTATACTACAAATCCACTCAATTTCTCTGCATTTTTCTTTTATCTGAATCTCCTTTCTGTGAGAGACAACTGTCAGACCAGTGCCCAACTGTAAAAGGGAAATCAGTAGACTCAGTGGCAGTAGGAGATGCTGGTAAGAAGGGGGAAAAATTGTCTACATGCTTATAGAAATTGTTAAATGTTTCATATACCACAGTAGTCTTAAAAAGCAAAAGGACTGTAGTAGGATAAGTCCTTAGAAGTTGAGAGGAATGAAGATAAAAGTTTTTTCCTTCAACCATGACCCATCAGAATCCAAACAGCTATTTTTCTTTATCATTTGATCACTACCTTTTCTCAGCCATCTGTGTTTTTCTAACTTTTAAACAGTTTTCCTTTCATTCCGTAAGATACATTTCTAGTCTTGGAAGTGGCAAGTAAAATAAACAGATTTTTTCCTCATACAAATTAATACTTTTATATACTTGTTTTGAGGTGAGTAAGAGGTCACAGTTCTGTCAACGTTTATGCATCTGTGAGATTGAGGCTGCAGTTTTATATCATTGTTTTCCACTATCTCTTGTAGAACCAATACACTCTTATTAGCCTGAGCGCAGTTTTAAGGGACTGTATGGCTTTTTAATCACTTACTTTTTAATTTTATTTAAAAAACAAAACCAAAACCAAACAGTTTAATGTTCTGGACTCTTATTTCAGGATTAACTAAACCAGAGCAAAAGAAAAGCTTCACGGTCTAAGTAAAACCCTAGTGTAGTTAAGATTGTAAGTCTCATAGACAATGAACTTACCTTCTAACTTAATCTATTTCGTAACCTGTCTTTTAGCAAGGTGTTTATTTCTTTGTGGTAGCAGATCACAAATACTGGTGGGGATTTTATTTTTTTAGGTAGTTTGATACTATATCTTATCCTTTTGGCGCAGTGTGTTTCTTTTAAGTCTTTTTCAATATGTAGCGAAAGGGGAGCTAGAGTTTTGGTGGTGTGTGGTGTTATTTTGGTTCTTTAGCACTCTGAATATATAGAGCAGTTCTGTTGGAAAGGACAGTCTCTCAATATATTTCAGCATGTTTTTACCTAAATATAAAATGAGTCATACTAGATTTCTCGCTATTTTCATGTGTATGCCTCACCTATCTAACACAAGAAAGAAAGCAGTGCATCTGTTTTTAAGCATGGATTTAAAAGAATTAAAATAAATACAACCGTTTTCTAGGTGCTTTTATGGCTTCATACACATAGCCGTTCTGGTTTCTCTTATATTCTTATGACTCAAACAGCTACTTTTGTTTTCATCTGATTGTGTATAGTTATTGAGCATAAACCCTTCTCAAGTAGCTTCAAAAGTTAGTGGTTTGTGAAGTCCTTGGCAAAAGTGACGTTAAGATTTGTTACATTGAGAGGAAAAGCTAGGGTTTGGAAGGTGGGTGAATTACAAAGTTAAATGTATGAAATTAACGGCATGGGAAAATGTGTGTTTTGAAGAAAATATTTACACTTACTAGTCTTTAAGTGGATGTGATGTATATGCATAGAATGCATATTTGAATAGATGAAGAATAATGTATATTGAACTACTGCTTATTTTTTCATTTCACCCCTCTGCTTCTTTCGCCATGTTTAGTGTATCCACAGATTCACAAATAAAACTAAAAGAAGTCTGCAGGAAAGTGAAGTGCACTGAAAATCTCCATCAGCAAAGAACAGATGAAGCACTCGAGGTATCGTATAACTCAGTTGACAGCTATAATACAATGTAGATGCTGTGGGTTCTAAGGTGAAATTTAAATATGAACTAATATTAGGATGCATTACAGTAATTGTCATCTTAATACTATGCTGAAAGTCCATGTTAGAGGAAAAATATTTAAATTTTGCTGAAAAACATTTCTGGAAATTATGAGCAATAAAACTTGCTTTATTTGTCCTGGGTTAAAATTTCATTTTCTGGGTTTTTTTTATTTCTTCTCTGAAGCAAGACGTTTGGGTTCGTCTGCTTCTTACTAAAGTGGAAAAAAGTTAGTGTTCAAATTGTGGGACTTCTTCAGGAGTCTTTAAAATATTGTGACTTTTCTATAAACACTAGCTATGAAAGAAGAGCAAATTAAGTGAAATCCTAGTACTTTTGAAGTATAGGCTGCTCAGTTTAGAAGAAATTTGAAAAAGTAATCCCAAAGATTGTAGAAACCAAATGCAAATGGCAAAGACTTCATACATTCCTCCTCTAGTACTGCTGAAAACCTGGCTTAAAAATTCTGCATTTTGAAAAATAGTGATGTTGTTTTGTACTGTGATCCTCTGCTTTCTCACCTGTTTTCTCTGCATTTGACAATTTAAATAGTGCTGGAAGAAGAGTTGTTGCAAACTCAACTTTTAACATTAATTTTTAAGTGGAAACAAGGCAAAGTCTTTTACCCAGTTCTTTTATGTTGTGGTACAAAATTAGGTGATTTGCATGAAATGAAGATAACCTAATTGAGGGAAAAAATCTCTGTCAGATTGAAACACTTAAAATTAATGCAATGAAAATACAAATACATGATCTGAAATTTCATGGTTTTCTTACAGCTTGCTAGTGAAATTGAAATGCAGAATGATCTGGATGTTGTTCAGTTGCTAGAAAAACAGTACCAAGAAAGATTAGAAGAAGAAATAGCAAAGGTATTATTTTTATTTTCTTACTTTAAAACATTTTAAAAATACTGTAATTTTTATCATTAATCGCCATTTCTGACGATTCAGAGAGTTGCAATACTGTATGCTAACTTTTGTTTGATTTATTTACAAGGAATTGTTTTGTTCTGATTCTGAATGGGAAAGTCTTAAAAAAAAAAAAAAAAAAAAAAGTGAAACATTTTGTGTTTTTTTTGTAGTTGTTTGTCCTATTCCTAACTCATAATTTTTGTGTGTGGGTGTTCTGCTTTAAAACTTCAAAGAAAATAGGCAACATGCAACATTACTTGACACTGGATTTTATTTAGAAAATCCAGAGGCTTAGAAAGTGGATTTCTTGCTACTGTAGGATTAACAGCTGATCAGTTCAAAAGATTCTACACTTAACAGTTTCACACTATTTTCTGATCATATTTTATTGTGCATTTTAATATATCGTGTAAACTGCATAGTTTTTAGTTCGATCTGGTGACTTTCTCTAAAACATGAGAAGTAAAATTAAGATTTTATAGGTAAAGTATATTATATTGTTTGTGGGTTTACTTACTTTTTGGCTTCCAAAAATATTTTCACTTCTTTGCAGAATGAAAAATTATCTCTACTTTCATTATGTCACGGCATAAATAAAAATCAAATTAACATAAATTAAAAATCAGAAAAAATAAAGGAATACGTCTTAAAAAGGTTTGCAGTCAAAGTTAAGGAGAATGTTATAACCAGCACTCGGTCATGACATTAATTTAAGTATTCCATGTTTCTGGAGTAGAAGTTCCATTTCTTTCATCTGCTGCCAAGAAAACCCTTCTTAATGGGAAAGCAAAGTACATGATTGGCGAGTGTTTTGTTAATCATAGAATTGAGTTGGAAGGGACCTTTAAAGGTCATCTAGTCTAACCCCTCCTGCAACAAGCAGGGACATCTTCAACTAGATCAGGTTGTGCGACCCCCATCCAACCTGACCTTGAATGTTTCCAGGGATGGGGCATCTACCCTGTCTCTGGGGTACACACCCTACTAAAAACTCCATCCCCCTCTTTCTTAGAAGCCCCCTTTAAGTACTGAAAGGCTGCATAAAGGTCTCCCTGGAGCCTTCTCTTCTCCAGGCTGGACAGCCCCAATTCTCTCAGCCTTTCCTGATAGGATTGGTGTTCCATCCCTCTGATCATTTTTGTTGTCCTCCTTTGGACCCGCTCCAACAGGTCCATGTCCTTCCTACGTTGGGGGGGACCCCAGAGCTGGACACAGTATTCCAGGTGAGGTCTCACGAGAGCAGAGTAGAGGGGCAGAATCACCTCCCTCGACCTGCTGGCCAGGCTGCTTTTGATGCAGCCCAGGATATGATTGACATTCTGGCCTGCGAGTGCACATTGCCAGTTCATGTCCAGCTTTTCGTTCAGCAGTACTCCCAAGTCCTTCTCTCCAGGGCTGCTCTCAATCCCTTCATCCCAAAGTCTGTATTGATACTGGAGGTTGCCCTGACCCAGGTGCGGGACCTTGTGCTTGTTAAAGGCAATTTAAGTTCAAAAGATAAGCTCATATTTTCTGGAAAGGAGAGTTAGGTTTTTCTTTTCAAATGTAACACTTCTGTGTTTATTACACTAAATTTTTCACATTTTTGTAGCTTATGCTACAAATAGCTGTATTCTAAACCTAGAAAAGAGCTGCTCACATGATTGGAAAAGGGGTTTATTTGTATTAGAAGGAAATACTTAGCAATATGAAAGTTAACAGCCTGTTGTAACTGCAACTGCAGCTATATAATTCCAGTAGAAGTTTATTTCTGATCAAATAAAATTCCTGTGCTGAGTATCAAACACGTGGCGCTGCTATCTTTATACAGCCCAAAATTCCATGTCAGTGAAATATTTACAAAGAATGCTTGGTTAGATAGAGGAAGCTTAACACAACTGCATTACGGTAATATGCCAGAACTTTTAAAAGTCACTTACAGAATCTTTTTGTGAAGAGCAAGATATTTTGGTGCTTAATAATATATTTTAATTTAAAGTAGCATCATAATTTATTAAAATACCTTAAATACAAAATGTCTGTATTTGAAGACATGACTGCTGATGAGATTGGAAAGATGTCTGTGTTTTTACCTTTCCATTTTCCTCTGTAAAAAAAAAAATAAAATCATAGTTCAGAACTTTTAGTAGTTTTATTTATATTATTGATGGTCAGCAATGAGATTTCTTCAGCAATAGGAGATGCTGCGAAGTTTAAACTAAAACAGATCTTTCTTATTTATTCAGGTAATTGTGTCAATGAGCGTAGCCTTTGCCAAACAGACTGAATTGTCAAGAATCACTAGGCAGAAGGAAGAAGAAACACAAACACAGATTGTACATCAACAGGGAATGCATTTTGAAGATAAAGAACAATGTAGTGAAGAAGAGGTTGACATCCCTCTTAGAAAAGCAACAGAGAAAGACAATAAGCATGAAGAAGGGTTGAAATCACTTTGCAAGGAACTCAGTGAAGAGTCTGGTGAGATGAATTCACTTGCAGAACAGCTTCATTCTAATAGCAGGCCTGGTTGCATAGTAGGACAGACCACACATGCATCAGTGATTTCTGAAGAACTTTTTTCACATGTCAAAGAGCTTACAGCAGAAGAAACACAGGTAAGTGTGGGGAAGAAAAAAAAAAAAGGCAGTATGTAGCACCAGTAGCAACGTATCTGAATAATCTTTCCAATGGATTTACGGTTCTTTTCAATGAGAAAATTGCAAAGAAAGAAATGAAGATGAAAATTCTGTTTAAATATTTCCCTTTCAAAAAGGTGGCAACTTTAGACCTAAATTATCTACCTTTCTTTCCTATGTTCTACTTATCATAGCATTATGCTATGCTATGAGGAAAGGAAAATAACACATTACATGAAAATAGATTATTCCATTTCATGGATAAAACTGTATTGCAGGCAATAAATTGTGTAAAGAGTTTTTGTAAGCTAGGAAGGAGCAAATTAAACATTATTTTTAAAGAGTTTGAGTCCCTTGTGATAAAGGATTTCAGCTGAACACAAAAATCATAAAAGTAATATGTAAAATACATATTTAGCGTTTCACAAACATGAAGCGAGGGGTAAAGTGTGGAATAAATATGGTAAAAAGTAGTTATAGATTTTGACTCCACAATTTCATCCTATTTCTTTAGTTAAATTTGGTACTAGTTGGAGCAAAAATAACACTTTCAAATTTGTGCAACAGTTAAATATTCTGATCTTGTATTATCTTGATAGTGAATAAACTGTAATATTCCTGCTTGGATGATAACTGTAATCTCAAATTCTGATGTTGTTCACACGCACACTCACAAACATGTATGGCTGCCACTGCGTTTTCTGTTCAGATCCCAACCAGCTGAAGAGCATAAGAGTTAACACTGTTCACAGTTATTTTAAAAAAATTGTCTTTTAAATGGAGAATAATTTTAAGCCTGGAATTTCCAAGAAGCAGGCAACAAGATAATGCTTTCATGATAGCTACTTTAATTGTGAAAGTATTTTCTAAAATTCATTTAAATATTTACCAGAAATTGTCATTGAACATAAAATGCTAAAACAGTTCCCTTATTTCAGCACTACAGTGAGATGATGGCATCAGACACACAAACATCAAGTCAGCTGTTGTTGTATGAGGAACGTTTGGAAGACATGCGACAGGAGCTAGTACGGCAGTATCAGGAGCATCAGCAGGCAACAGAATTATTGAGACAAGGGCACATGCGGCAAATGGAACGTCAGAAAGAAAACCAAGAGCAACTCTTAGCAGAACTTGAGAGTCTTAAAGTGCAATTAGCTGAGGTAATACAGATTTTGACTCAATGAGTTAACAAAGAGACATGACCAGGCAGATTTATGTTTGAGATACACACACACACATATTTACTATATGCATGCACACACACACACACATATGCACATTTGTGTGTGTGTGTATATAGAATCATAGAATTTCTAGGTTGGAAAAGACCTTAGAGATCATCCAGTCCATCCGTCCCTAATCCCCCATTAAACCATGTCCCTAAGCAGTGCATCCACCCTTTTCTTAAACATGTCAAGGGATGGGGACTCAACCACCTCCTGGGCAGCCTATTCCAGTGGCTGACAACCCTTTCAGAGAAGAAATTCTTTCTAACATCCAACCTGAATCTCCCTGACTAAGCTTATACCCATTTCCTCTTGTTCTATCACCCATCACTAATGTAAAGAGTCCCTCCCCTACCTCCCCACCATCCCTTCTCAAGTACTTGTAGGCTGTAAAATGAACATATATACATATATATGTGTGTATATATATATGTTCATATATATGTATATATACATATATATGAACATATATACATGCATGTATAAAAGGCATATTTCATTCATCAAAGCTCAGTCAGTGATGGATCAATTTAGACTTCTGTAAACCTGGAGAGAACATGCAGTGCTGCACAGCAGCCAGAAGAGTGAGTGAGATGCATTGCAGAGGCATTGTAGACCGTACCACCTTCTAGATACTTGGCCCTGCGCAGGACGCAGGATGGCACCCATTGACATCAATGAAGCCTCCATGGCTTGAAATACTATAGAATTATTCGGTTTTCCTCATACCCACTTGAGGTCCAAACTTCAACAGTATCTGCAGCTTTCTGCAACAATGTGTTTTGGCTTTTTCTTTTTTTTTTTTTAATCATGGCAGATTAAGTCCTTACTGGCTGTTACAATGAAACAAAATCTATGGGTTTTGGTGGGAAACACCACTGTTTCTTTGCCTTTCTAAACTTAACTTGCTGTCACTCTGCATCTATTCAAAGCCTATAGTATGTATGCTGATTAAACTCACTGATTTATCTTAATAATTAAGTCTTCAAAAATGTCATTTATAGACTTGTCTTCAAGGATTCCTTCCCTTGAAAAAGACAAAGTAAACAGAATCGAGAAGAATTTGTCTTACTCTGATTTATTTTCAACAATGTAACATTACAGAAATGCACGTGGAAAGAGTACTCAGTGAATTCTGAAATTCTTTAATTTCACTGTGGAGTGAAGCTTTAGGTTCCTTCAGACCTTATCTAAACCAGTTCTGTTCTGTTTATGTTTGAGCTCAAGGAGCTAGGGAGTCTAGAGAGCCATTCACTTGTATGCTAGGTGTCTTTTCCAGCAATATAAGGTGTCTGTTTCTACTAGCTGCTTTGTAGGTATCTTTCTATCATTTATCCTGATAATATTTCCTTTCAATGTATACATCCTTTCTCCTTTTGCCTCTCTATCAGTTTGCAACTCCATCTTCTGTCAGGGGTTCAAATTCCTGAAACTGGTGAAAAACATTAAGTAGAACTTATGCTGCTGGCGTTTCTTCAGTTTTTAATGCGAAGGATGTATATCCATAAGAAACACACAGGAACGTACATATTGTGTTTAAGCCATGAACACTTGTAGCTCTTCTAAAAGAGAATTTATGTAGGCATTTTATAAAAAGAACTTATTTTCATCTCTATTCCTGTGCAAAACACGTACCATAGCATGTAATGTTTAGAAATTAATCTTCCAGTTTGCATTGTGACCACTGTTTCATAAAGAGCATACAAAGTGTATGAAGATCTTGAAAGTGTAAGATACCAAAAGTATTTATTAGCTGTATTCTATTCTAGAAAGCATTCAATGTCTTTATAACCATTTAAAGAAGTGGACTGAAATTTCATTGTGCAAAATACGTAAAAAATTAGAAGTGACAAGACTCACTAATGCTCAGAAGCTTAAAAAATTGTGTTTGCCTCTATAACACTTCTTTCTTAGCATGTCTCAATGGAGAATGACAGCCTGGTTGCAGAGAGAGAGAGAATGCTTTTAGAAGAACTGGAATCATTAAAACAACATTCCGAACTCGGAAAAGAGAGGCTGTTTTGTGAGCTACAAAACAACAGCACACAAACAGAGGTAAATATGGACTTTGACTTTCTTGGCAGCTGTGGCATGTAAAACCAGTAAGATTCCTTTTTACTACTACTCTTTTTGTGTAATATATTTCCTGAAAGATGTTGGATATTGCTTGAACAGAGCAAGTTTAAGAATCAAGAGGTGATACTGGTAGATGTAGTTTTTTTACTTCAGGTAAGCAGAAGCTAGTTTAACAGCACGAAGGTGGGGATTATTTAGCCATTTGCTCAGGTAAACACACATTTTCATATTGCTATAGCAACACCAACAAAGTAAAAGGACTTTTTAATCAGCATAACAAAGTTCTTTCTCATACGCCCTACCTTGGATTTCCTGCTTTGTTTTTACTGAAGTTTTAGTTAATTTTTCCACATAGGAAGGGTATTTATTGATTTGTAATTTGATGCAGTTTTATTAACAAATCACAACTAATTTAGCTTTTAAATTTCATACTCTACTGTGTATAAGAAGAATATGTTGATTCTGACATGACGGGATTTCTGTCCTTTTTTGTCTTCTCTCCCTCTGGAAAAACTTACTCAGAGTGAAAATGAAAACAAAAACGGTGTGAGAGAGCAGATCTTTGAGGATGAAGATGGAGGAAGAAAGTCTGATGAAACACCTTCATCTCTTCTTTCTAAAGAAAGGTACTTAGAACTGTTACGACAAAATTATTTTTGAAAAATTTTGAGAATTATGTTCTTGTTGTTAAATTAGTAATATTTGTAAGCTTTATTCTGACTGATGATAATGGCATTTTTTTTATTCTAGGTAACCATATTTCTAAGTTTACATACTTTAAATTAAACAACGTCTTGTTTTTCATAAAGCCTAACAATGTAATGGCATAGAGGATGAGACAAACCTTAGCCTATTTAATGTCTTTCGCATTACACACGTATAGAATCATATACATAATCTAACACATGTATTTGTATACATATTGTATGCATGTGTATGGAATGTTTGTATTAATATAATTGTTGTATTAGATAATACCTTTTGACTATTCTGTAACTTTTTACTCTGCATAGAGGAACAATCTTTTTGTCACTTGGAGAACAGAGTAAGTTTATAATGATAACAGGCAAATATACATTTAAAAAGAATAACTAGATAAAATATCAAGATAAAAGTACAAATATTGATAAATAGTTTGACTTTTTACATATTTTGTAAAAGAATTACTTTTAACACAAATGTGCTTTTAATATTTATGTATGTGATGTGTTTTTTAGTCTCAAAAAAGAAATCTTAATTTTACTGTTTCAACTGCAAATCTTTCTTGGTTGCAAGGATATGTGAGGGATAAAAAACACTTTGAAAGCAGGCAAAAATCAAAGGACTGATTAGTTTCTGTCCTGCAGGCATGTTTTTCAGAAGGCTAATGAGAAACTCATGAAGATTCTTTTAGAAGTTGTGAAGACAACTGTGGCCATGGAGGAGACAATTGGTCGCCATGTTCTCGGGTTACTGGATCGGACTGGGAAAGTCCAGCCTTCCAAAATAGCTGGATGGGACACAGAAACAGAGGAGTCAGTAAAACCCTGTGTCCGTGTGGGATATGAAAAAGGTACTGCTTGTATGACTTTCTATTTCATAACAAGTAACATTTGCATGCTTTTATTATATATTTAAAGAACCTTAGTTTTGAAATTTTTAATAAACTTTTTTTTTTCTTTTTTAAAAGCTGTGTGTCATTTGAATGCATATGACATCCCTGCTTAAGAGATAACATTTCAGGAGTTGTCTGGGTCATACCCGAAGCCAGTTACGACTCATATCTAGGGTCTTGTTGCAAAGCCTGCAACAAAATGAAAAAGTGATTGAGAAATACAAAAATATGTTTCTGTTGAAGGAGGCAAGGAGAAAGAGAATGAAACATAGCTCCTTGACATCTTCCACCAGCTTTATGCCTTCCTCTTTCCGTACAGGAAATGAGAACTCGTGTCAAAGGCTGTATCTCTACTAGCGCACTTAATGTACGTAGGGATGTTGCTAGTCACTGAGGCTGGCTGGCATGGGGCAGCCTGTATGTATATGCTTGTGGGCTTTCTTAGCCTCCTAAAGAGGGCGGTTGCATGCAAATAGCCTTTTGGAAACAGCTCCAGGAACCTCCTGACTGCCAAGACTTGCCCGTCAGCTGTTTGAAGGAGTGCTAGTTGGCAGAAGCCTAAAGGAGCGTTTTAACATTGTAGTTAATTGCTTACTGGTGTCTAAGAACTCTCTCAGGCTTTGTTTGTGAGTGTACTAGGATAGTGTCTGTCCATTTCTGTTTTAGGCAAGAACAGGCATTATATCATTTTGCCATTTAGGTACCATTTAGGTGCCATTAAGGTTGTGTACTTTCATGCTGGATCTTATGGGAAGGCAACATACAACAATCAGTTCAGCCTGAAACACGTTATACATCTGGATTTGGCGGGATTTTTAACTACTGTGAATGAGAAAAGGAACTGGAAGTCAAACACATTTCAGTATTAAGAAAGTATCAGCTGCAGAGTAATAATACAAATAGTAAATGCAAATGAACTTTACCTCTTTCATTCAAAATGTAGATTATAAAATATTATTTATTCCCTCTGGCTTTAAATATAGGTCACATTAAGCCTTGGGACAGGTTAAGAAAGAATGTGTGACTTTGTAGCACAGTGACATTTCTCTCAGTTGATTACTCAAAAGGTTATCTGCAGTGAAATGTGTACAGCTGCAGCCTAAGAATTCCGAAATTTTTCAAGTTAACAGCACTTTTATGCTTGTACTGCTGTTTCATTAAAAAACCTTGTAATTTTTGTTTTCTGCACCTTTCACTGTATTTAATTGTGAGGAAAATTATTTTTTGAAAGCTCAGACTTTTGAGGCTTTTCCTTTTTCCCCAAATTTTAGATTGGATAACTAAGCTTCTGGCCTTAGTTTTTGATACTTTTCCAGGAGACCTTAAAGATTGTCAACATCTGCTACTATAATTGAAGGAATTCCTTCTTTCAAAATGAAGTATTCTTGCGCTTTACTTTGGGTTGGGAAATGAGTAGAGTTTGCTAATGTTAAACCAGTTTAAAATATCTTCAACCACTGGCAACTATTTTCCACACAGTCTACTAGCCGAATGGTAAAAGGAGCAATGATGAGGCTCAAAGTTTACCACCACCTGCTTTTGTATTCTGAGATTAGTCTTAAATTATATGTAAACTGCATTTTAAATAAGTTTTATATATTAAAACCAGCAATTTATAAATATTCTTTGTATTCTTTGTGTTCTCATTGTATAGTCTGAGGTATGTAAAAAGCATTGAGATTTTCACAACATACATTGCCCAAAGAAATAAAAACGTGTTCTGATTATGAAGGAGGTGATCACAAGTTGTCACAATTACACGTATTGTGGTATTACCTAGTGCATTCACTGCACCTAATTCATAGTTATATCTTGCCTATTCAGAGAACATACACTGTTGCTTTTCTCTCTTTCTCCTTTGCTGAGAATATCGCTCCCTTTTCTCGGGTAATACTGTATGGACAAAGTGCTAATAGGTGATTGTTGCCCGTCACTACTCTCACATGTGCTTGCTCTGCATGGGCGGGTACAATGCACAATACCTGCGTTCACTTTTTGCCTGCCCCTGCACAGCAATGTACATACTTGTATTTGTCACTAATTGTTGTCATTAACAGTTCTCAATATGGATTACTTGCATTACATATGTGTAGAAAAACACAGTTTAAAAAATGTCTTTATTTAGTATTTTGAGTGCTTACAATATAGCCTTATGCCTGGCTTTCATGATACTACTGTCTAAAAACACTACAGTCTACAGTGATTAGATTGTATTGTTAATTTCTTGTGAAGTCTTCTGATGAAAGAGTGCTCTCTTAAATACAAGAGAACTCTATTCCATTCTGCTAGTGATGAAGTTTGACTGTGTTAACTTTTGTGTTTGCTATTAGCGTGTTTTGAAGAGGCATGTAGGGTTTCACTATTCTGTAACAATGCGATGTGTCTGTTATTGTAATGCCCCTCCTTGGTGTAGAGTGGCATTCAAGCAGTCTGCATACCAGTTGTATGCAGTATTCTTTTTTTGCATGTTTCCTTACATTCAGAAATAATTTTGAAAGGGGGGGAGTTCAAAGAAGAGAGTGAGGATTAAAGAAGATTGAAGCTTATAGTGGCTATAATGGGTGAATTTATAGTTTGTAATGTACCTCTGAGGTTGTATTCACAGTTGTCTTTTTTCCTTTCAAAATCATACAACAGCATCCTTGTTGTGTACATAGTTCTTCCACTGGGGTCAGACAGCTGTAGTAGCAGTCGTACTGTTTCATCAGCCGACATATGTGGTCTTTCTTCAAATGGAATTAGATGACATATTCTATCAGTGTTTTCAGCAACAGGACTGTTGTTGTTCATTTCCTAGACTTCCACTGGGAAGGCATAAACTTCTAAAAATGTTTCCCCTTTTTTTTCTGGAAGGTAGACACTACCGTATTTTAACCTGTGCATATTATTGTGTTTTCTAATACCTACCCAAACAGAACTTCTTTATTAATTAGGAAACTTGTAGGAATATATTTGTACCAATAAAGATCTATTAATAAAATGGAAAAATAATGTATTTAATGAAGTGAATTCTCTGTGACCTTTTGAACATAATCTATATTTATCGACAAGCAAAACTTAGCTTACTGTGTTTGCTGAGTTTCAATATTTTAAAAGCCTGAATCATTAACTTCACATACTTATAACCACAACCTGATTTATAGAGCCTATAGATGTTTATCTGGGACCTTGCCTCAGTTATTGGCTAACACAGGATTTTATTTCTAGCAGAGCGAGTAAAGTTCAAATTTCAATCAGAAAACATGTCATTGGACGTGAACAGCATTTGTGCAAAGTAATCCAGTGAGTTATTTATGCCTGGAGATTTGAGCAGGAATCATCGTGACAGAGCCAGCAGGCTTTGCTGTCCTGCTCCCTCCGGTGTTGTACCTTGGGTAGAGGGACTGCGGTAATGCAGGTTGCTCTGGAAAAGCCTGTGCAGTTATGGCATTCCTAGAACATTAAACCCTCTTACCTACTTACTGAGCTCCTTGTTTCTGAACAGTGTACCATGAACAAGGTAGTAAATGGCTTTATACTCTGAACTGCCATAAAACTGATTTTTTTGTTCTCAGCTTGTAACCCCTAACGCTAATTCCTCAGTGGAATCCTGGGAGTAGACATACTACCTCCACATGATGCAAAATATGTATTGCTTTATAAATGTCAGTTGGCAGCTCATTAACAACTTCTGTATCTGAAACTTCTGAGTAAGCACTGTATAATCAAGCACTTTTCTTAAGATTTAGTGGGCCATGACATAGAATGTGCTGAA